CCTGCTGACCTGTTCATAGCACAGTACTGCTATGTAAACAAGAATTGAGTTTCTATTATGTTTATGTACTTATACATCCTAGTGTTTATTGTTATAGCTGTTAGTGCACCACAAATAGCATCTAACCAGTCTGCACAAGTGAGAACTTACTTATTATACATTATATTTTTACATTTGCCCTAATAAGGAAGTAAAAAAGGATGAAGGATGCTCATAAAGAAACATGAAAAGTTTAAAGCGAATTTTCAAAAATAATTATATATGAACATTTTTAAAGTAAGCTTTTCTACAATGCTCCTGATTCTGTGTTTATAGAAAAGCTTGAAAAGGATTATCATTTTTTCCTGCTCTGTATCATCTATAGGATAAAGATCAGTGAAGGCCCAGCCTCTCTGGCATAGTAATGTGCCAGATGGTGGAGCTGGAAGCTATAGCTGACTGTGGTTCAAGTCCCCAGCTGGGCCAGCCTGCAAATATGCTAGGCATGTGCATGTGTGCCCTGGATCCTGGGGGCTGAAGGACTGGAGGAAGGGGACCGTGATGTGACTGAACCAGTGATGGCGCTTCTCTCTCTCTCTCGCACTTACAAGTCTTATTATACTGTTTCTTGTGTGTGTGTGTGTTTCTATATGATGTGTGCACTTGCCAAAGAAAGACAGAGAAGGAAAGAAAGAAATCACTTTCCAAGGGGATGGCCACACCACAATTCTTTCTCCTCCATTTTCCTCTGGGGATTCTGGGCACACACGCACACGTGCCCTGCATGTTTTTCAAGCCACTAGGTCTGGGACTTTAACTATGCAGTCAGCCATGTGGGATGTAGTACCTTAACCACCACACCACTTACTGACCCTTATGCATTTTTTTAAAAAGTCAGTGTAAGGGGGTCAGCAGGTGGCACAGTGGTTAAGGTGCTGGACTCCCACATGGTTGACCATTGTTTGAGTCCTGAATCAGATGGCTTGAGACTCATGCTGGGTGTGTGTGCGTGCCTCTCCAAAATCTAAAGAGGAGAATGGAAAAGAAGATTTTGCAGCGTGGCCATCCCTGCTCTGGGAGGGAAGGGTGATTATTTCTTTTCTGTCTCTGTCTTCCGGTGAGTGCACACATCCTTATAGCAAAAATCTCTCTAAAGAAATCAGCATAAGTAGTAGAAATTATTTCTCTGATATTTTATAGATTCATATATTTTACTGAGTTTTTTTTTCTTTGGAGAGGTCTTTGCTATAGCACACATGTGCTCGCCAGAAAGGCAGAGAAAGAGAGACAGAAAGTGAAAAATCACCCCCCGGGGGAATGGCCATGCCACAATCCCTTCTCCTCCATTCTCCTCTTGGGATCTTGGGCACACATGCACATGCACCCGGCATGAGTTTAAGCCACCAGGATTCGATCTGTGGTCAGCTACATGGGAGTCCAGCAACGTGGCCATTACACCATCTGCTGGTCTCAGTTTTTCTAATTTAAAACTTCTACAAGAATATTTTCCTTAGATATTTATAGATTTCTTATTTTACGTTGAAGACACCTCTACTCAGATAAACCTATTACTTACTAAGTTATGTAATCTTGCAAATAATAGCTTCAGAATTTACAAAATAGGTAAGTAGAAAGGACCAAAAAGAAAAAAATATATACATTTTAGTAAAATACACTTAGCAAATTATGAAACAAAACAGAATATCAAGGTCTTAAAAAATTATTATGTCAGGGGACCAACAGTTAGCGTAATGGCTATGTTGCTGGACTCCCACGTAGTCAACTGCAGTTCGAGTCCCGGACCCGGTGCCTTAACACGCTGGGCGTGTGTGTGTGCGCGTGCCCAAGATCCCGAGAGGAGAATGGAAGAGAGGGCTTGCAGCATGGCCATCCCCAATGGGGGGTGATTTCTTGCTTTCTGTCTCTCTGTCTCTTTCTGGCAAGTACATGCACACTATAGCAAAACCTCTCCCCGCTAAAAAAATTTTTATGTCAGAAAGGAGGAATTCTCTTTAATCACCCTCAGTGATGCCTTTTATAAGTTGTCTTCTTGATTTTATAATTTGTAGTGTTAATTTTTCTTCTTCCAAATATAAGCCTTTCACTATATATAGTTATGGACACCAGAAATATCTGTAATTGGGAACTCCAAATGAATATAAGCTATAAAATATCTTTTAAACCTATGGAGCTGCGGGACAGCAGATGGTGTAATGGTTATGTTGTTGGACTCCCATGTAGTTGACTGTAGTTCGAGTCCCAGACCTGGTGACTTAAATCTCATGTTGGGCACGAGAGTGTGCATGCCCAAAATCCCAAGAGGAGAATGGAGGAGGAGGAGCTGTGGTGTGGCCATCCCCCTGGGGGCGGGGGGAAGAGTGATTTCTTGCTTCCTATCTCTTTGTCTCTCTCTTTCTAACTCTCTGGCAAGCACACATGCACTATAGCAAAAATCTTTCCTAAAAAATAGAAGCCCCCAAACCCGTGGGACTTAGAAACAATAGAAAACTCTCCTGAGCAGTAAGAAAGCATATGCTGGGGCAGCAGGTGGTATGTGGTTGAAGCGCTGGACTCCCATATGGCCGACCACAGTTCAAGTCCCAGTCCTTGTGGCTTACTTTCTCACTATTCCTTTCTGTATCTTTCTGGTGAATTAAAAAGAATTATTATTAATAAAATTAAATGTATTTTTAAAAGAAAGCATATGCTACTATTTCCAATTCAGATACTTAACAAAAGGGAACCCATAGTGCAACGATTAAACACTGTAGGCAACTGAATCTCTGGCTGACTGTGGTTCAAATCCTGGTCCCAGCAACTTGAGAAACATGTTGGTTGTACATGCATGCAAGCCCAAATCTGGTGGGACTGAGGACGAGGACTGCAGCATGCCCATACCCCACTGGGAGTGCTTTCTGCTTGCTTTCTCGGTGAGTACACATGCCCTTTAGCAATTAAAAAAAAAGTCACTTAACAGTTTTTAAAGCTGTGCTCTTTGTACAGGCAGTGTAGAAAAAAGTTTCAAGTTTTAAATGCTAACTTTATTATTTTGGGGCCCTGAAGTTAGTATTTATGTGAAACAAGTACACAATAATAATGAGTTACGTTGCAAAACTGGAACACATAACCTCACACTGTTCTACATAGAAAACACAGCACCAGTGAAAACACGTTTTCCTCTTGTATAAGTGAATAATTTCATAGTCTTCAAACATTGCCTGAGCATCTTGATTGACTATTTTTAGTCTCTCATTACTTATCACTTCTTTGTAAAATGTAATGTTGTTTTTGTATTTTCTATATTTTTTCCTTACATTAAAAATCTTTATGTTTTAAAAATCTGTTATGACTTATTGGCAATATAAATAATCTTGTGCTTTTCCATTACACTAATGTCATGTTCCAGTTGCTTCATCTCTTCTTCCAGCCTCTGCTTGCGGACCTTCTTTGGTATGGAATCTATGTAGACGGAGAGGGACTGGAACTCCTTATGCACCTCTTCCCAGTTCTTTTTCAGCCCCTGCAAATGGTAAAGGACACCATAAACACTACAGTAAATGGCAGGAGTAAAGTAAATTGTATGAGCCCAGAAAATAGGGGCCAGCTCAGTGGTGCAGGGGTAACATGCAGCTCGAGTGATGCTGGGTCCGCATGGAAAACTGTGGGTGGGGTTCCCAGTTGGCCTGTATGTGTGGGGCGTGTGCATCCCCGATCCTGGTGGGCTGGGGAGGGTGAGGCCTGGGGGGATCATAGTGTAAGACCCTGTTGAGGATGCTTGTCTTCTTTCTTCTTTCTCTCTCTCTCATTTTTATAAATAAGCTTAAAAATGTGAAGTGGCAAAGAAAAAGTACTGGTAATGAAAAATACAAGTGGGTTAAAAAAAAAAACAGTGAAAATAACTTTTTAAATGTATTTATCAAGTACTTGGCCACAGTAATATAAAATACTGTGCAGAGGCCAAATCCTGTCCCTGATTGTGCACTCAGTCCCCACTGGGAGTATTTATTTGCTCTGTTTTCAATGTTACTGTACTTGTTTTCACCGTTGAATATGCATATGCATAGTTTTAAGTAGTATGAAACTAAGCTCATATCAGATGTTTTGGGTAAAAAACAACTTAGAATTGACATCTCCCAGTAAAACATACTTTTGACCAGGAAATTCTTTCTTATGAAAGTTCTGGTTTTTTCTCTTCAGAATTTTCTCTTTTATTCTTATTCTTCAACAGAGAAATCAAATTTAAAAACTTCATTCTGACTTGCATGGCTATATCTTCTTACTCAATAAAACAAGATAGTAAAAATGCAAAAGTTGAGTTTTCTAAAAGATGATCTTTTATGTATTTTTCCAATATATTAGAGAAGACAAATCATCTTCTACATAGTGTCCATTAATGTATTTTAGAAGTGACGGAAATATGAAAGGTAGCACACGTGCTGGCTCCATAATGCAGCTCATGTTTTATATTCTCAGCAATCAACAAATTCAATATGAAGCCTCTCTTCGGAGCAATCAAGGTTCTTTCCATCGCTGCCTCGGCACCACTTCCCAGCACTGTGCACCATGGGCTCCGCTGACAAAATGGTGTAAAGCTACCAAATGAACTTGTTCCAATAAGTTTTGTAAACCAATACTTTTTATTATTCATTATGGCTGCACAGATCATTTTATTTACCCCAAACAAAAGACAGAACAATAGGCATAATTTAAAATATTGCCTTGAAAATGTGGTCCTTAAAAACCCGGCCATCCACTGAGGTTTAAAAGAGAATTAGAAGTGGCTTATATAACAAAGCCTTCATCATAAACCCTCGCAGGGCAAATTTCATCTTGTAGATACTTTCTGAAGACAGTAAAATTCTCATGATTTATTTCCAGGCTTAGGTAAAAGTGATGAAAAGGATAGGGTGCACCATGCCGAAGAGGTTGGCTGAGGGCAAGAGCAACTCATTTTGACCCCTTGTTGAGTGAGATTTCTTACATGTGGGAGCTGGGAAAGGGAAGAGAGAGAAGAAAAAGATTTCCAGGTTCAATTTTAAAAAGAGGTGGTGGGGTTAACACAGTTTTTAATAGTATATGAGATGGATTCCAAAAAGTAGTCCTCAAAAGAATTCTATTTCTCCATCGCCTTTCATTATAAAATAGAAAATATGTTCCCACAGTGCTCCGCGGGGGTGTCTACCGCAGAGAGGAAACACTTTCAAATATCAAGCGTTCTTCACAGCTCGTTGGGGGATATTTCCATATTACTTGCAGTCACAGCAGCTACATTATTCTCTGCATTTCCTTTTAAAGGACAGTTTCCTTTTATCTTCCAGAGTGTACAGTACTGTTTGGATCAAAGTCAACAGCTAGGGATGGAAACTATATGTAACTAATAGTTCATATTATATTAAAATAGCCTCCTTGCCGTTTTTAAACATTTTTTGGTTAGTTCATCTTTCAAAAGTCTTTTATCCATTGCAGCAATAGCGCTTTTCTCTTATTTTTATTTCTTCATTTTTCTCCCTTCTACTTTAATGCTGAAATAATATTGTTAATTTCAGAAAAAAATATTCAAATAGGGTGAAGTGATCATACAATGAGAAGTACTTTTGGTTTCATAGTCCCTTTCTTTTTTTTTTTTTCTTTAAGTTTCTTTCTTCCTTTCTTTCTCTTTCTGTGAGCGAGTGAGACAGAGATAGAGTCAGAGACACAATATCCCCAATGGGGTCTTGATGCTGTGACACACTCCTAGCTTTAGCCAGCCCAGATCATGGACGCATGCATACTTACTATAGTCAGGCAGGTCTCTGGACTTGAACTCGGAACCTTCCCGTGAAAGTCAACCTTGCAGAGCTTCCCTTTTTCTGCTGCAACACCGGTCCCTCATGCTCCTTTTGCACCCATTCCCCCCTCAACTATTCTCTACCTTCTTGCCCTGCTGAGTGATGAGGGGTGGTGGTAGGAGTTGATCCTTGTGAGCTGTCCTGCTTGGTCCTTTGCCCTCTGGCCTCTAAGTGCAGCTGAAGAGGGCATTTGAGGGAGGAGAGGCTGGAGCATTTCTTCCCCCCTTTGTCTTGATGGTGCCTGACAACTGGTTCTCGTTAATTTATCTATGACTGTCACGCCTGTCAGGTGGCCTTTCTTCCACACCCCAGTTCTCTCTAGGTTCTGATAATACTGTTTCTTGCCTCTGCCCTTCAAGTCTACATGGAGGTGAATTTCCACTGGGGTGCCTCAGGTTCCCTTTTGTCTCCCTTAACCTTACTTCACTTCTGGAAATAGTTCCTTTATAAATTCTCTTTAGAGTCACAGCTGAGCGTGCCCTGGAGCTCCTGTTGGAGGCCCGACAGGCCTGGCTTCCCTCTGTTGCCTCCTGTGCAGGTATGTACTATATAATGTGGTGGGGAAATGCCAGCCTGGGAGTGTAAGTGGGAGTTTTAGTCCCTATTCACCTACTCAATGGTTTCAAGATCAAAGGCAAATGTGAACCAAACTCTGAATCCACTGGCAGTGTCCCTCCAGCTGGGTACAGTGCCTGGAACACAGAAAAGGTTCGTAAATGAATGAATGGGTGAGTGAACGAATGAACCATATATGTGCATTTATATGCTCATCTGTAAAATAAGAAGTTGGAAATCATCAGACTAGATGATCTCTTCCAGGTAGAATGCGACTATCATTTATGAAGAATGAGCAAAATGTGGCTTACTTGGGGACATATGACTCTATTATAGAACTATTAATATTTGTGATTAATCTTAGCCAGGGAAGGAAGCATGGTTCAGGGCTTGTCAGGGGGCTAGCTGGTGGCTTGCTACCAGGATAGCTTGGCTCCCTGACTAGTAAAACATCCAGTGGAGGATCTGCTTTGTCACATCAAACAGCAACTTTATGGTGACCATAATAGGAGGCTGAGGGCTGCGTATCCATTACAGCCTAAAACGCACAGGAGGAAAGAACCTCTGAGGAAGTTCTTCCTCTTTTCCTTATTATTATTATTTTTTTATACATTTATAGTTTATTCATCTCTTACTTCCATTAGAGAGTAACAGGTACCCAACAAGGTTCCCATGTCATAATACAGCCCCAACATGTTCAAGGAGACCCTAGAACATGTGGGCCCAGCTAGGCCACCGAGCCACTGTGTTCCTTCTGAGAATGGGAGAATCCCACCTGAAGAGACGACGGGCCAAAGAACAACTCTCTCACTGAAAGTGATGTGCAGGTTGCCATGTCCCTGTGGGCTGGCCTCCTGCTGCCTGACTTCCTTCTTCTTTCCTAGCACGCCATTACTGCACAGCTGTCTGTGTATACTGGGCTCTGGGCTAGGCACTTGGGGTACTGTCATCAACAAAGGGAGGGCTGGCTCCATGGCACAGTGGTAATGCACTGGTCAGGAGAAGCCAGATCCCACATGCTGACTGCAGTTCAAATCCTAGCCAGGGTCTGCCTGAAATGGCCAGGTATGCTCAAGTGCCCAGATTCAATGGGCATATCCAGTCCCTGGAGGAAGAGGATATGGTGTGACCAGATCCTGTGGAAGGTGCACCCCTCTGTCTGTTTCTCACATGTGTATGCCTACATACAAGCACTCTCTCTTGAATAAAAGAACCCCTCAAACCCTAAAGAAACACAGTTCCTACCCTTCTAGCCAGTGCTGCTGTCTGGGATGCCTTTTTACTCTGCACTTTCAGGTCCAGCTAAAGATCTATTAATACCTCTTTCAGTGGTGATTAGTGCTTTGGCAGATTATAAACTGACGATCTGTGCACACATACACAAACATTCGTGTCTCTACACATGTCCATACATGTATATTACCTCTCATCAATTACATGAAACAGTCTATTTAACAAAAATTCTTTACAAAAATTTTTTTTTTAAAAAAATTGCCAAAGAGTACATCAAGAGAAAGAAAGACAGAGAGGGAGAAAGCATGCCTCAATGAGGCGTGGTCATGCTGCAATCCCTTCTTCTCCATTTCTCTATCCTGCCGGGGTTTGGGTCAGACACACACACATGCCTAGTGAGATTTTCAAGTCCTCAGGGCTGGAATTCGAACTGTGGTCAGCTGGGTGAGATATGGTTCCCTTAATTACTAGGCTATAGGGCCAGCTCCAGAAATTCTACCTATGCCTTTTTAAATAGGCTCAGGACTGAGCATGATATTGGATGCAAAAGAGACATCTAATAAATGTTTGTTGAAGATTATGAAGATGTTGAGGTGGTGAACATTTGTAATAGCATATGAATCCATTTTTTCAACAGAAATGAATAAGAGTTTTGTTTTGTTTTAAAACTACTCTAAAAATGACTTTGTAGAAAGTTCTCAACATAAAAAACAAAACAAAACAACAAAGAATAAAGTACTATTTTGACCTCTGTAAGAGTGGCAGGTCTGTATCAGAATACAAGGTAGGTGCTTAGTGAACGCTTTCGCCAAATGACAATGGAGGAGCAGTCCGTGCACACCCCAGTGATGTAAATTCTTCACAAAAAAATTATGCATTAAAATGTCCAGGGTGGGCCAGCCGGGTGGTGTGGTGGTTGGGGCAGCTGGATCTTGCATAGCCAACTGTATAGTTCAAGTCCTGGATCTGGCAGCTTGAGAAAAGTGCCCGGCTCCTGTGCATGCATGCTCAGGATCCTGAGAGGGGAATGGAGGAGAGAGGATGGTGGGTGGTCATCCCTACTGAGGGGTGCTTTCTCTCTTTCCTTCTCTCTTTCTCTGTCTCTCTCTGGTGAGTGCATGTTCCCTATAGAAAATTATTAAATACAAAAACACACACACGAAAAAGAAACAGGGGTCAGCAGGTAGTGTGATGGTTAAGGTGCAGGACTCCCACATGGCCAACTGAAGCTCGAGTCTAGGACCTGGTGGTTTGAAAATCACACTGGATCCGTGTGCATGTGTGCACAAAATCACTGGAGGAGAGTAGAGAAGAGAGTGCAGCAAGGCCATCCCCCTGGGGGGTGATTTCTCACTTTTACTCTCACTGTCTCTCTCTCTGGTGAGCACACATACCCTATGACAAAAACCTTTTAAAAATAAAATAAAAGCAAGGAATAAACTTCCAATGTAAACATGTCTTTAGCTATATTTTATTCAAAAGTAAGGAAAATATAAAATCCAACCCTGGTTTATCTAAAAATTTGAATATTGGGCTCTATAGGAAAGGGAAAAAAAGTTGGTTTAGGGACAGTTTCAATTATTCTAGAGCTCCATCTAGTGAAAATTATCTAATTTATGGCTCTTATTTTTTATAAGTTCAGTGACATGAGAATGAAAGCAAAATGCTTTTTGACTTCTTTATGCATGCTTGTTGTAGGAGAAGATGGGCTTGATTACAACATATTTCAGGAAGAAAACAGAAGTTCATCAAATTGGAAACAAAGCATCATTCAAGAAATCCCTAAGTTTAAAGCTCCCCAAAGAGTCATCTTGGCTGCATGTAGTTTGTCGCTAAAACCGAAAAAAATTATTCAGATTTCAAAACCAAAGTGCTGGCTTTAATGATCCAGTTGAAGGAAACCTGAAAGACCTAAACTGCAAGCGCTCACCTGCAGAACCGCCTCTCTTTCCTCATCAGACAGTCTTTTCATAGCCGCTTTCTTAAGGTTTTCCTGGATGTAATTATCATATTCTTCTTGGGCTTTCTTTACTTCCTCGTTTCGCTTACATATGTACTCAGGTGTGACTCCATAATCCTGTATGGATGTTTCAGGGGAAAAAATATCAGTATCCTGAATGTGATCTTGTGTAAGTGTACATACCAACCAACGACTGGGAAAAAATGTTACCATCTTAGAGCCTTTGCTCAAAACACTGCAAACTGACAAAACTCAGCGACCACTTTCCTCACTGAGAACTAGCTGGCTCTAGTCTTTTTAAACCAGGTTGTTACTGCGATGACCTGTTCTCCCTCTTCTGAACGTTCCCAGTGCCGGTTATCGGCTCAGGAGCCTCACTTTACCATTAAGAGTTCTCTTTTCTCTCCGCCTTTCATGTGCTTCAGCTTTTACTGTAAAATATCTTGGATCTCTCGAGGTCTCTTTTTCACCATCTTTTTAAAGAAAGACAGACAAATGCTTTTAAGGCACTGTAGAAGCAAACCCTTAAAAGATACCAAGAATATCAACCTGAAGAGAAAACTGACTTGGAACCCTTGAGATTGTTTTTTTGGAAACAGAAAACACATTTTTAGATTCCTGGGCTGCTCATGAGGACTTCCAGTGAAGCAATCAGTTGTGATTCTTTCAGATTAGTGAACGAGTTGATGCCTCTCTCTAGAGAACAGAACGACTCTCTCCTTTGTTCATTCTTCAAAACACTAAGAACATGCTTAGTGCTTAGGTATCACAGTAAGTAAGAAAGGCAGTTTCTGTCTTCAGGGACTTCGCATTCTATAGCACAAAAGAGTTACCAAAAATAGAGTATAAACTAATAAATACAAATGCTCTGAAATAAAGGATAGTAAGGACAAAGAGATTCAGAAGGGCTATTCTAGATAAATAAGGAGGTCAGGATGTTCAGCCATTAAAAAGGAAATCCTGTCATTTGAGGTAAAATGGATGAGCCTGCTGGACATTATGTTAAGTGAAATAAACCAGGCACAGAGAGAGAAATGCCACATGTTCTCACTTACAGTGGAAATGGAAAGAAAAAAAGAAAACGAAAGCCGAGGGACCAGCAGTTGATGTAATGGCTATGTCGCTGGACTCCCATGTAGTTGATCGTGGTTTTAGTCCCGGAATCGGTGTCTTAAACACATGCCAGGCGCAAGTGTGTGTGTGTGCCCAAGATACCAAAGAGGAGAATGGAGGAGAAGGGATTGCAGCGTGGCCATCCCCCCTGGGGGATGATTTCTCACTTTCTCTCGGTCTTTCTGGCAAGCGCACATGCCCTATAGCAAAAAACTACAAAACAAAAACAAAAACAAAAACAAAACAACTGAAAGCTGAAGAATACTACTAGAGGTTGGGATGAGTGGGGGTGAGCATAGAGGAATGTTGATTAATGGAAACTAAATTAGAGATAGGTAAGAGGGGCAATTTCTTTTTTTTTTTTTTCTTTTTTTTGCTATAGGGCGTGTGCACTAGACAGAAAGACGGAGAGAGACAGAGAGACAGAAAGTGAGAAATCACCTCCTGATTTTCTGTTCAAGGAAGAAAGCATGTTGAGGGAACCAGCAGTTAGCATAATGGCTATGTCGTCACTGTAGTCGACTGCAGTTCGCATCCCGGACCCGGTGGCTTAAAATTCACACTGGGCATGTGTGCGTGCATGCCCAAGATCTCGAAGGGAGAATTGCGGTGTGGCCATTCCACCTGGCAGGGGTGATTTCTCGCTTTCTGTCTCTCTGGCTGTCTCTGTGTGTCTGGAGAGCGCACGTGCCCTATAGCAAAAACTTCTCAAAAAAAAAAACAAAACAAAACAAAAAACAAAGGAAGAAAGCATGTTGAAGTAGGCAGTTTAGGCAGAGAGCCACCAGAGGGAACGGCAGAGTGTGTGGCACTTGGTGGTATGGCTATTAATGGAGCCGGGTGTTTCATTGATAGTGAAGAAATAATGGCAAGAAGTAGCTTTAAAGAGCCAGGAGGGGGAAACTTTTACTTTTTCCCACTGAAAGGGACCAGGACTATGAGTGGCTTTCAGGGACCACAGAAGAAGAATAAAGTAGGCTAGGTAACTTTACTGGCAGAAGCCTAAGAAGTACACCTAAAGTACTCCACTGGCATGAGCCGCCAACTTCCAGATTCCCGCCCAAAAGTCTTCCAGAGACCATGTGATCTTAGTGCACTGATGAGGAGAGCGTCTCAGGGACGTGAGGTTCATCAGCATCTTGCCATGAAAGACGATGCCTTCTTGATTTGCAGCAGTGATTGTGCTTTTAGTGAGGCCTTGAGGTTCCTATTTGGTTTCCAACAGGCACTGGATAATATCATGGTAGATCATTGGGCTACCTCAATGCAGGGCCCTCCTATGCTATTGCAATTGCTTTTGTATTTTCGTCCCTTCCTTCTCTCTTCTCTTTCTTCCTTCACTCCTCTCTTCCTCCTTCCTGTCTTTCTTCCTTTCTTGCCACAACTTATGACTATTTAGAATTTTGCTCTCAGATTTTACTATGTGTGTTCCAAACACTTTAAAGCTTTATTAATCCCAAACAAACCAGGATTTGTATACAATTTTTTGTACACTTTTAAAAGATTTTCTATATTTAAACCACTGTACCCAAGCTTCTACAATGTTCACCAATGAGATCATATGCTTATCTGAAAAACACCTTTCAGATAGAAATTAAATACCAAAAAAGGACTAGATTAGTGGATGAGAATATATAATATTTTTCATGTTAAAATAGTAGTACAAATGACTTCTACTATGCTGATGGAATGATAGCTATAATATATTTCTCTCATTTTGCTATCAAGTTAAAGCAATTTTTTAAAAAAGATTTTTGCCATAAAGGCTTGCCAGAGAGACAAAGAGACAGTGAGAGGGAATGTGAGAAATTGCCCCTGGAGGGACCAGCAGTTAGGGTAATGGCTATGTCGCTGGATTCCCACATGGTCGACTGCAGTTCACGTCCCAGACCCAGTGGCTTAAAACTCACGCCGGGCATGTGCGCGTGCGTGCCTAGGATCCTGAGAGGAGAATGGAGAAGAAGGGATTGCGGTGTGGCCATCCCCCCTGGGGGGTGATTTCTCGTTTTCTGTCTCTCTGTCTCTCTCTCTCTCTGGCGAGCACACATGCCCTATAGCGAAAACCTCTACAAAAAAAAAAAAAAAATCGCCCCTGGGAGGGATGGCCACACCACAATCCTTCTTCATCTCCTGGGATTTGGGGCATGCATGCACATGTGCCCAGTGTTGAGTTTTTTAGCTGTTTGATCCAGAACCTGAACTGCAGTCAATTCTGGGTGGGAGTTCAGTGCCTTAACCACTATGCCATCTGCTGGGCCCAAGTAAAAACAATTTAATCATTATTTTACCATCTTCTGGAAGATTATTCCTTCTAGATTTACAGTAGTGATTGTGCTTTTAGTGAGATTTCCACTCATCAGAAATTAATATCTTTGAAGGGATGGTTATTATAATTGTGGATATATTAATAATTGAAATTAGTGCCAGCCTTACAGTCTAATGGTTAAAGGAGCTGATTCCCATATGGCCCACCATAGTTCAAAGCCTGGCCCCAGTGACTTAAAAGCTATGCTGGGTATATTTATATACACCAGATCCTGACAGGGCAAAAAGGATTGAGGCATGACCATTCCCCTTTGTGTGGGGGGGATGATTTCTCCTTCTCTCTCTCTCTGTCAAGCACACTTGCTCTCTAGCAATTAAAAAATTTGAAATTAAGAAAAGCAATTATAACTTTAGTCACTGAACTATATGGTATTGCTCACTGTAAGTTCTCTGTGATTTCATCTGATTAGATTTGGATTACACACAGACTGCAGAGTAACCAGAACTGGCCCTCTAGATTATTTGTAGAGTGAGAACACAATTAATGGTAACTGTCATTTTGAATACCACATTTAAGTTATCAATATTTGAATCTCAGTTCTCTCATTAATATCTCACAAGGCTACCTTTTTATTGATGTATTTTGGAACCAGTCCTGAAGTTTCAAGATCGTGCTTGTCTCCAGTTCTTTTGTCAACATAAATTGGCTTGGGCTTTTTAGCCACTCCCATGATGACATCAGCGGCGTTTGTATTTATAAAATTTTTTCCACTTTGTATTCCCATGACTGGATGATCAGTCCTCAACGGCACGGCAGGCTTTTTGGGTTCATTCCGGTCAAACTTTTTTTCTATGTAACATAACATTTCCTTGTTAATAGTAAACTATAAACATTGCTACTCACTGCTATGTATAACATCCAGATATTATATGTGTATATTGACATTTTATTAATAATATATTAAAATATTTAGGGTAAAAAGTATAAACTTGTCCCCACACTTAAGTTATATACACTAAGTACCACTAAGTATGTACAGCTTTTTACATGTCAATCATATCTCAATAAAGTGACTTAGAAAAAGTAATCAAAATGTAAAGAACTGAAGTACAACATAATCAATAAATATGAAGAGCAGTATGAAAATCTAAGGGAGAAGGACAAGCACCCTAAATTATATGCTAGGGATTCAATACATTTTTACCAGCAAATAGTGAAAACATTTTACAATAAGGATTTCAATGATAAATCTTAAGCTTCCCCATTTAAAATAAGTTTAAGGGCCAGCAGGTGGCATGGTGGTTAAAGTTGCTGGACTCCCACATGGCTGACTGTGACTTGAGTCCCAGACCTGGAGGCTTGCTCTCTCCCCCCGCCCCCACACACACGTCTTTCTTTGGTTAAATTCAGTAATAATAATAATGAATAAAGTTAAATAAAATAATTCTTTAAAAAATAAGTTTAAATGAGAAACATTAAAATTCTTTTCTGAGTACTCTCTATATTTCTAATAATTGTTCCTTTAGAGAAAAACTACTATAAAATCACCATCTAAATAAATCACACATTGAAGTATTGAAAGTCCAAGAATCTATGGAATTTTTAAAATAAAATTATTATTACTATGTAATTGGATGGGCCCTGTAGTAAAGCAATTAAGCTCTACACAGAGGAATCCAGATCCCAGATGGCTCACTGGGGTTTAAGTCTTGGTCCCCATGGCTTGAAAAATATGCCAGGTGCACAGACTCAGCCAGGATCCCGACAGGATGGAGAACTGGAGAAAAGGGGGTGTGATGTGACTAGGCTCTGCTGCAGGTACTTTCTTGCTCTCTTGCTCTCTCTGCTGCCCTCATGCATGCATGCACCCTCAGCCATTCAAAAAATGCTAAAAATATAAATTATTATTTTTCCCAAGAACTGAAGGCAGCAACTCTCTTAAGGAGGCCTTACTCCATTCTTAAGCTCATTGCAATTACTAGAGACTTTAACTTTATTCATTTCTGCATTGTCTTTTTTACAAGTTTATATAATATTCATTATGAGAAAAAAACAGCATGTATTGTTAAAAGTCTAGGGAACCAGCAGTTAGTATAATGTATATGTCGCTAGACTCCCACGTAGTCGACTGTGGTTCGCGTCCCGGACCCGGTGGCTTAAAACTCACGCCAGGCGCGTGTGCATGCATGCCCAAGATCCCGAGAGGAGAATGGAGGAGAAGGGATTGCGGCGTGACCATCCCCCCTGGGGGATGCTTTCTCGCTTTCTGTCTCTATGTCTGTCTGTCTGGCGAGCGCACGCGCCCTATAGTGAAAATCTCTCCGGAAAAAAAAAAGTCTATGGACTAGATTCACCTTTTGTTAGGGGTTGAATTGTCTCTGGAAATCCATATATTGAAGGAAATAAATAGGGAGGAGTAGTTTCACTTTTATCAAAACATACCCCTAGCTGGACTTGACAAACTGCATTATATGTGAATATATAGATATAAAATATATATTATACTGGAGAAACAGACAGAAAACAATAAATCACCCACCAGGGGAGATGGCCACGCCACAATCCCTTCCTCCTCCATTCTCCTCTCAGGATCTTGGGCATGCAAGTACATGTGCCCAGCATGAGTTTTAAGCCGCTGGGTCTGGAACTCGAACCATAGTCGAAGTGGGAGTCCAACATTGTATCTATATGCCATTTGCTGGTCTTGCATTATTTTCTTGACTCCAGCAGACATAAAGAGACCAATCTTTGAAAGAGACAGCTAGGGACCAACAGATGTGTAATAGTTACGTTGCTGGACTCCCACATGGCGGACCAGGGTTCTAGCCCTGGACTAGGCGGCTTAAACTCATGCTGGGCACGCACACGTTAGCCCAAGATCCTGAGAGGAAAATGGAGGAGAAGGGATTGTGGCATGGCCATCTCCCCTGGGAGCTCTGACTTCTCTCAAGTAAGCACACATGCCCTATAGCAAAAATCTCTCTCTGGGGAAAAAAAAAAAAAGAAAGAAAGAGACTCATTTATCTCTTTCCTTTATTGTGCTAAGACATCAGGGAAGACATGCATACAATGGGAAGAGGTTGCTATCATCTTTCCTGATATCAATATACTAGGATATCAATAGAGTCAATATGGCCAGGATCAACTACGTAATTTTTGAGGCTCAGTGTACAATGAAAAAACAGGGATCCTTGGTTAAAATAATAAAAAATTAAGGAATTCAGGGTGGCAAGAGCAGAAGGTCCTTCCAAGTGCGAGGTCCTGTGCAACTACACAGATAGCGCACTCATGCACCTGGCTTTGTCTACCACCCATTCCTGAAGCCCCCTCCATTACATCTAATTAATTTATAGTTCTACGGTTTTAAAGATTCGAAAACAAATGCCTATACTCAAAAATATGAGCCTGATTGTTGTTTTAACCACTTGCAGTAATGGTTTTAATTTTCATTGTTTTCTTTCTTTTTTTAAGAGATTTTTGCCTTAGCACATGTATGTTTACTGGAGAGAGAGGGACAGAGACAGTGAGAGGAAAAGTGAGCAATCACCCCTAGAGGGGATGGCCACACTGCAATCCCTTCTCCTCCATTCTCTTTCCGGGATCTTAGGCATGCACGCGTATGTGCCTGGTTTGAGTTTCAAGCCACCAGGTCTAGGACTCAAACTGTAGTTGGCCATGTGGGAGTTCAGTGACATACCACTACACCATCTCTTGGCTCCTTAATTTTTATTTCTTGAGTAATGGGCCAGATAGGTTTAGGTATCAGCTGATCTTGCCCATTAATCAGACACTGATGGTGGTATTTAGAATTTTTCTCATAATTGTTATTTATAATTTAAGTTGTATGGCTAGGGACTACAGAGGTGAGGCATGTGGAACTGGAGGGGGGGGGTGTCACTCTATAGTCTAAGATGTAATTCCAGACCCTGGTGCCATCAAAAGTCTGTTTGGGAGGCAATTTATCACTATTCTCTTTTTGTCTACTACCTTCTCTACTTTAACTTTCTCTTAGTCACCCAAATCCTGTTTAATATGAGGTAAAGTTGCTCTTACCTGTGCATAGTTCATATTCATTCACAATGAGACAATTTTTGTTAAATTCCCTGCTAACACTTTTAATATTAAAAAGAAAGGGTGATAAAACCTACTGGGTGGTAGAGCTTTTTCCTTTGAATGTTTCTTGAGAAAATCCTTTGGAGAAGGTACTTCGACTTTTGCTGGCCCCATAGTTTTCATTGCAGTTTTAAATTTTTTCATGTCATCTTTTACAGCTGCCTTAAAAACTGATGTATACCTAAAATTAAATTTTAAAAGTTGTAGCACTTATATTTACATTAAAATTGTTTAAAGCATGTATTTCCAACTTATGAAGGTCTATATTCACATGGAGAAGAACAGCCATAAAATAAAGTTATCTGTGCCCCATTCATCATGTTTAGTCACGCTAGCTGGAAGCTCTGCCCTAAGAGGTGTAGCGTAAGGGTGTCAATAGTTACGCCTTACTATTCTTTGAACATCTGTAGTATTGGTAGTGATGTCAACTCTCTGATTTCTGATATTAGTAATTGTCTCTTCTCTCTCTCTAAATATAGGGCTGGCTAGGAGTTTATTAATTTTATTGATCTTCTCAAAAAACCAAATGTCACTTATTTTTCTCTAATGTTCATGTTTTCTATTTCAGTTCTCTCTGCACCAATTCTTACTTTTTCTCCTTACTTTGGGCCTAACTGCTTTTCTTTTTTTGGTTTCTTAAGGTGCAAATCTAGATATCTGATCTGAAACCTTCATACTTTTTAAATGTTTAAAACTATGAAGTTTCCTCTGTCACTTTAGCTGCAGTCTGTAAATTTTGACATGCCATGTTTTGCTTTCATTCAGGCCCAAATACATTTTAAATGATGTCTTGATATCTTCTTTAATTTAGAAGTTTGTTTAGAAATGTCTGTTTAGGTCTCACACATTTGAGATTTTTCAGACATAGTTCTAAATTGATTTCCATTGTATAATAGTTTGAGAACATAGTTTGTATTTCAATTCTTCTAAAATTTCTGATACTCATTGTATAATACAAAGTATGGTCTGTGTTCATAAATGTTTTACACACATTTGAAAATAAAGTGTATCCTGCTGTTGGCTGTAGTGTTCTACATAGAACAATTAGGTCAAATTGGCTGAAAGTGTTTTCAAGTGTTCTATATTTCTATTGATTTTGGTTGACTAGGTCTATTAATTATTATTATTATTTTACTAACAAAAAATTGTATTTACTTAGAAGCATTCAGAACGTCAACAAAACAGCTGCAACATTCTTTTTTTTTTTTTTTTCAATTACAGAGTGGTATTCAGTTAACAGGACAACAATTATTTCGTATAAGCTGCATCAGAGACAACTGAAGATGAAAAAATTACCATCCCCATATATAACTAATTTGTGCTGTGCACCAACAAGAACCTGCTTTAAATTTCCACGCCAATTTACAACCCCCATACTGTACAAGGCAAGGTTAGTGGCTTTTGAAAATACCACCAGGATAGGGCTATCTAAAGACAAATTTGGTAGTGTGTTAACTATACAAAAAAAGACACTGTACAGTTTAAAAACAAATCTTACACAGTCTTACATTTCAATTTTTTTCTTTAAAAGGAGTGAGTTGTGTACAGGGGGGTTAAATGCTTTATAGACAAGGAAAAAAAAACTGCGCTAGAACCAACTTATTCATCATCATCATCTTCTTCATCTTCCTCTTCTTCCTCATCTTCTTCATCTTCCTCCTCCTCCTCCTTTTTCTTGCTCTTTTCAGCCTTGACAACTCCCTTTTTTGCTGCATCAGGCTTTCCTTTAGCTCCGTATGCAGCAATATCCTTTTCGTATTTTTCCTTCAGCTTAGCAGCCTTCTTTTCATAAGGCTGTTTCTCATCTGCAGCAGTGTTGTTCCACATCTCTCCCAATTTCTTTGCAGCATCACCAATGGATAGGCCAGGATGTTCTCCTTTGATTTTTGGGCGATATTCAGAACAGAACAAGAAAAAGGCCGAAGGAGGCCTCTTGGGTGCATTGGGATCCTTGGACTTCTTTTTTGTTTCCCCTTTAGGAGGGATATAGGTTTTCATTTCTCTTTCATAACGGGCCTTGTCCGCCTTTGCCATATCTTCAAACTTTCCTTTCTCTTTAGCAGACATGGTCTTCCACCTCTCTGAGCACTTCTTAGAAAACTCTGAGAAGTTGACTGAAGCATCTGCGTGCTTCTTCTTGGGCTCCTCCCAGCAAGTTTGCACAAAGAATGCATATGACGACATTTTGCCTCTCAGCTTCTTAGGATCTCCTTTGCCCATGTTTAGTTATCTTTCCTCCACGAGGCAGAGAGTTGCCCAGTGCCCATCCGGCTCTTGCCCCGGCGCTGTCTCTATAGGTCTATTACTTATTGAAAGATATGTTGAAATCTCTATAATTACAGATTTGGTTATTTCTTCTTTTAATTCAAACAGCTTTTGCTAAATACTTTGAAGTTCTGTGATAGCTGCATAACATTTAGGACTGTTAACATCTTGAAAATGTGATCACTTCATCATTATAAAATAACACTGTATCTCTTTAAAATTCTGTTCTCAGTACTCTAGATCCAGTCACAATAGCATGCACTGGTCACTGTGGCTGAGCAAGCAGAAGCCATGTGGGGGGCTCAGGTTTGCTTTCTGGCCATCCTGTAAAGTTGGGTGTGCTGACACATCCCTGTAGTTCCAGCTACCCCAGAGGCTGAAGGCAGGAGGACCATGACATAGCAAGACAGAGTCTATAAAGAACAATCAAAAAGTCCCAAACTAACATGTACTACACACACACACACACACACACACACACACACACAATTTTCACTTCTGTACTCGAAAATCTACTGTCTTATATCATTATAGCAGCTCTAGCAACCCTCCTATTTATGATAGTATGTATTTTTCCATTCTTAGACTTCAGACTAGTCTGTCTTAATTTTTAAAGCAATTTTCTTATATACAGTATAAAAAATTATTCAATTGATTATTTTTTACTTGGTATGCTTATTACGTGTGTGCTCAAACTTCCCATCTTGCTGTTTTCTACATATCCCACTGCTCATTCGTCCTTTTATCCTGCCTTGTTTTTTAATTTGTGGAAACCCTAGCTTTACAGTACACATGCATAGCTTATCAGTCTACTTTCAAGTAATTTTATAACATTTCTTTTATGGTATAAGAACCTTATAGAAGTATTTCATTCCTCCCCACCTTTGTTCAAATGTTATAACATATTTTACTTTACTGTGTTATAAAATCCATAATTCATTATGACTGTTTTCCATTTATATAGTCAATTCTAAAGAGATTTTTAAAAAGCTTTATTATTTACCCACATATTTACCATTTCCTGTGTTTGTCATTCTGCTGTGCAAATTTGAATTTCCAGCTGGTACCATTTCTTCTGTAAAGAGCTTCTTGAAGCTTTGGCTTCCACTGCTTCCACTGAAAAAATTACTGTCCCTCTTTCTTCCTCTGTAAGTAATGTTTCTGTTTTCCTCTGGCTGTTCCTTATGATTTTTCAAATCTTTTTTATTAAGAGTTACAATAAATTTTATCAGGTTGTTGGGAAAGTCATGATGTATTCTTCTACTTTTTTCTATGCAGAGAATGCGTTATGGCTTTCCCAGCAACCTATTATCCTTAGTGTGGACCTGTTCAATTATTTTCTTTCTTTTCTGCTTGGGGATTCATTGTGTTCCTGGATTTTAAATTAGGGAATTTCATCAAACCTGACAAATTTTTTATTTTTATTCAAGTATTTCTTCTGTTTCCCCATCTCTTTTCTCTTCTGGCTTCTAGTTACATGTGCATCATGCTGCTTGAGGCTGTCCACTGCTCACTAATTCTGTTTTCCTTCTGAGTCTTTCCCGTGTTTTATTTTGTATTCTATTACTGTGTCTTACAAATTCACCTACACATTTTTCTTCAGTGTCTTAGCTGTTGTGAACCCCAACTAATATACTATTTTCATTTGGGGCATGGTATTCTTTATGTTTAGAAGTTTGATTTGGGAACACAGTTGAATTGGTCTGATCTGGTCTGATCTGTGGAGCTAGGATGGGCGTAGTTAGTACTGATATGGGAGAAGTCAGATTTAGATCTCTTCTCACCTCTATTTTTTTTCCATCTTAATCGTACTTTCCTCTACCTTTTGAACACACGGTGGATATTTAAAATAGCTATTTCAATGTCCTTTTCTACTAATTCTCTCATCTATGTGATTTCTATGTCTGACTGATTTTGACTCTTTTTCTCTTAAGGTTTTTGCCATATGACACATGTGCTTGCCAGAGAGACAATAAGAGAGAAAGTGAGAAATCACCCCTGGGGGGGTGACTTATGCTATAAACCTTTCTCCATTCCCCTCCTGGGACTTTGTTCACATGCACTAGTGTGAATTTCAAGTTGCCAGGTCCATGACTCAAACCATGGTAGACCATGTGGGAGTCCAGCACCTTAACCACCACGCCACCTGCTGGCCTCTTATTTTTCTTTTGATTGTGCATTGTATTTTCCTGCTTCTTTGCATGACGGGTAATTTTTGATTGGATGACAGACATTGTGAATTTTACATTGCTAACTGCTATTTTTTTTTGGGGGGGGGGCGAGGGAAGTACTCTTTAAAGTTTTCCTTTAGCTTTATTCTGGGATAACTCTGAGGGTTGGAAACAGTGTGATCATTTTAAGGATTACTTTTAAGGTTTAGGGTATGTCCGAAAGAGTCTTTAGTTTAGTTCTACTTTAGTCCCACCACTAAGGCAATGCACTTCTGCATGTACTACTTAATGCCCAGTATACTGGGAGGTGTCTCCGATCTGGCTGGTGGGAACATAAACTTTACCTAGCATTACTGCTTTCTGTTGGTTATTTTCCTGGTTTGCTAATTTCATTATAGTCACTTTCTTTTTTAGAAAGTTTTTTTTTTTTTTTTTTTTTTTTTTTTTTTTTTTTTTTTTTTTTTTTTCTTGTTTTTTTTTTTTTTTTGCTATAGGGTGCATGTGCTCACTGGAAAGACAAAGACAGAGAATGAGAAATCACCCCCAGGGGGGATGACCATGCCACAATCCCTTCTCTATTCTCCTCTTGGGATCTTGGGCACACATGACATGCCTGGCACGGGTTTTAAGCTGCCAGGTCTAGTACACGAACCACGGTCAACTATGTGGGAGTCCAGTGATGTAACTATTATGCTAACTGCTGGCCCCCATTACATTCACATTCAACCCAAAATTTGAGGAAACT